ATTAAAATGGATTAATTTGATTTTGAAATCAGGTATGAGTTGTTCAGCAAGAATGTGAGTGAGTTGATCCAAACGTGATCTGTTATAATTCTGTTTATAATTATATTTTAAAACTTGCCAATGACTTTCTGTAATCATTGTTGTGCGAGCTAAAGGTATTGCTAATGTATATGAAGAGCGTGCAAAAAGTTTCTAATCATTTTCGTTATACCAATTCATCCACAAATAATCCCACAATCTCGCAAGATCTTGTGAATGACAAAATTGATATATTTCTTCAGTATAGTAGTGATATATTTCTTTTCGGGTTAAAAAAGCATTTTTTGAAAGTGGAATAAGAGGATGCATATTAGCATGCTTTTTAATCATGCTTAAAAGCTCTTTCGTAATATTATCTGGACAAATCGAACCAGTATTAGTTCTTGAAATTCACAATGGATCAATAAAACTAAATTTCCAATAAGTATCTGAAGTCTTTATTGTTGTATAAGTTTCTATTCGTATTTTTTTCTTTTAACTTTCAATCAATGGCATGTTCAAGATGCCAATAACAGAGCTAAATGTTTGTTGTCCACAACCATGCCTCATTGACAGCTGATATCTCTCCCACATCCTTGTTTGTAAGAACAAAAATTGGTTTTAATCCCTTTTGTCGAAGTTTAATAAAGAACATTCATAATACTTTGACACGTGTTTTTATTTCATTTTTTGGATCATCTAGAGCTTCTTGAGTATTATTATGAATATAAAAGTATAAGTATGCAATTGGCATACCATATCTGCTGCAATTCACATTCACTGCAAAAAGTTCAAATCATTCTTGATTGGTTTTAAATGTTGAATCAATAACAATTTTGGTCACGTTCACGAGATCAATAATTTTAACCAGAGAGGTAAGAAATCTCATGACTTGAATATAATCATTTTCCAAATAATAGAGAATTTCAAAGCCTTTTTCTTTATGTTCGGACTGTTCAAGAAATATTTTTGCTGATAAAAGTTGATTCTCTTCATTCATTATATATAATTTCTTCTTATATACAGAGATCCAATAATATACTTGTTCCTTTGTATGTATCTCAGGAACAATGATCATTTCCTTACAGAGTCATTGTTATATCTCTGTATTTCGCAAATTTGATGCTATATTATTCTTGATCCATTCTTTTGCTTTGTTAGGAAACTTGACACACTGATATGTTGGATGCTCATGTAATACTTGATAATCAACTTGAAGAGTAATGCATTTTTCTTTTGAATCTATAAAGAGTTTAATACTTCCTGCACAATTATATCTCTCTATAGGAGTGCGGGCTTCACTTCTTCTTTTCACTGACTGGCTCTCGGATCTTTGCCATGTATGATTATCTCACATTGTATAACCAAGATATATTGAACAACAGTCTGTATATTCTTTTTTCTTGGAATTCAACCATGATTTACGCATTTCCCAGGAATAGGCAGAGCCAGATTCTATTGGTATAATAATTATACTAGTGATTTCTTCAAATTTTTTTCTAATCATAATTGGATTCTCAATATTTTGATAATTCGAGAAAAGTATTTCAAAAAGTTCAGAATCCAACTCAATTTCAAAGGTAAACTTTACTGGTTCATTGATTACTTTAGCTTGTATAAATTCCTTTGAAATAATTTCGTGTATTTTATCTAAATCGTATATAATTGTATTGGGATTATCTTCACATAAGTCGTCTTGGACATGATCCAGTGCGAATGACTCTTCAGAATTTAAAAAATTGTGGGAAGTACTTGTAATACTTTGAAAAGAGGTAAGCGAATCATTAAGATTCAATTCACTATAGATCGTTTCTAAATTTCTATCTTCTGATATAGCATCATCCATGGCCTTATATTTATTTTTCTTTCTTGTAGAGCAATCATTGCAAGTGGCATATTCATGTTGTGGGTTGTTAGATCTGGGACGGTAGAATTCAATTCTTTTTTTTATGACTTTACAACCAGTATATGTCTTTGTTTCGAGTTCCTTTGTAGAATTGTTTTCAGATATGTTAACTATTATATTATGATAAAGATTAATTGATGGATTAAATTGTTTAGGAATTTGATATTGTATGTTTTTTATTTAATAATTTGAATTTAATGATTTGAATTTACAAAGATATCGAGTTTTTATAATTTTTTTAATATATTTGAGAGTGATGCAAGATCAATATCTCGGGTGAGAGGACTTTGCTTCAGAATCTATTATTCTATTCAGGATTTTTAATTCTATTCTATTTGTATTCTATATTTTTTATTTGTTTTTAATAAAAGTTCCTGAATGTTTGAAATCAAAATGATACAGACTTTGCTATGATTTTTTTAAGATACTAACTTCGGTCTTCATCAATGATCTGATTTTTTAAGATTGATTTCGGCCATTCGGTCATTCAACCATTTGGTCATTCGACCATTCAGCCATTCGGTCATTCGGAAATGATTTTTTAAGACTGACTCAGAAATGATCTGTTCGTAATTCGGTCACATGTTCGTACATCGATAACGTGCCCGGACATTTCACGTGAATCATAAATCATGTGTCCAGACATTTTTCTTCGCCATGGCTAGGATACTTCCTATATCGTGAGCTACGTCATATCTGGTAAGGGATTGGTTAGACTCTGATCACGTGATCAATGATCCTTATGAGATCCAGACTTATTAATTTGTTCTGTATTTGTATATCTTCCAATTTCACAATTCTGTCCTTAAGCTCATGGATTCTCAGCTTTAATTTTATTATTTTCAGCCTCAAGCTTGGCAATATATTGTCTCAATGAATCTATTTCAGATAGCATGCTTTTATAATTTAGTATTAGTATGCATTCAAAAAGTAAAAAATACATGTCTTTCGAGACCACGTGATTCCAGAAATTTGCCAAGAAAAAATTTATTATTTGGTATGTGAAGTTAAATTTGTAAAGTAGACCATCAGGGTCAGTTTTATTATAATACAAATAATAATGGTACATCTATGGCTGAGCCAAAGGGGTTCTTCGAAGCAGGTGCTAAAGAATAAGCTCATCTATAATTTCACGGAACTTGCCAGTAACATCACGAAATCTTGCACTCATCCTCACATTTTTAAACTCCCTATCATGCCAGAAATGGACGACATTTAACCCCCTCTCCTGGAGCTTTTCACATGGCCAATATGGATTGGTTACGATAAAATCTTCACGGGAGAAGTGTACGATCCAAATTTCTCGGGGTTGGAGTTGCTCTTCGTACTTAAATACTTGCTCAAAATGCCCATCCAATTTCGAAATTGATGCCGTTGCCAATAGTTCAAGAAGAGCTTCCAGATGAGGACTATCGGGCTTTTTTATGGTTAGGTCGCAATAAAGGTGATGGTACTCTCCGTCATCACAAACTTTTTCGAGATGCCACTGGCCGGTGATCTCATATCCATGGATCTTTCTTAACCAATTTACTAGAACTCGGTACATTTCAGCATCGTATGTACTTTCCCTTGGAACTTTGATATAGTGCTCGGAATTTACATACAAATGATTGGAACTTTTGTATGAGCGGGAGGATCCTAGTGCAATTATGCCTTGGTCGAAATCACGTACTGCGGTCTTTAAAATCTCCAAAATATCTACAGATCCATCATTCCGAAATGGGATATCTGCAGGAGCATCCAAAACTTTGCTAATACTTCGTTTTTTAGCAACAGGGGCGGAAGAAACTAATGAATCTGACTTTGAGGAGGCTGGCTTTTCTATTATCTCTTCTTGCAGGTTAGAAGTATCGGCTAAAGGTTTGCGACCTTTTTTTCCACTAACCTACATTAAAATATATCCCCTCAGTAATAAGTATCATCATTGGGGAATAATGAAATAAAAAATAATATTTTTTAGAATGGTGATACTAGAAGTAACGACCATATGGGATGGTTCTTATATGAATCCCATCTGCCCAAACACGGAATATTACTCAGTATACTTTTATCAAAAGGAAGGTACATAACCGAATCCTCCTCCAGAAACGGTAGACCTTTAACAAAAAGTATTGCCAAATAATCTCACAACATCTAACAGAATGAATATGCTAGAGCACTGCAATAACCGAGGGTTTATATATCCCCAAGCGAAAGCTTTTTGTATCTAACATATCACATCTGAAAAATGTGTATTTGGGCCTGTAAAATAGAAACACATACCTTCTTCTTAAGTAAGAGATTTCTAACAACTTCAAGGATCTCCTGTGAGCTCATCGGATCATCACGGAAAATATATAATGTATTGTAAAATACCGTATGTATCTCGTTTCTTTCAGTAGGTCCAAACATATTTGTTGACCAGGATATGAAATGCTGAAGAGACCATATACCACATGGAAAGAGCCAAAGTATTCGATTTTTCCTTTTTCGAGGGCTCTTGTTTTCTCTTTTAATATCTTAGCTTGTTTTTCAAGCTTCATAGCAGGTCCACGCTTTATACCATCCTTCATGAACTTTCTTTCGGTCATATCTGGGAAGGTTTGGCCATCTATTTTCTGCTTACGAAGGATCTTGAAATCGTCCTCATCAAGATTTATGTTCAGGTTGCGTAAGAAAATAATGAGAGTCTCGGTATCCCAGTTTTCGACCAAAGAGGAGCGGTTTGAAAAAGTTGTAGAAGTGGACATGTTTTATTAGCTTGTTAGAAGTAGAAAACCCAAAAACAAGAAATATGTATAACGAACTTACCCTCTTTGATTTATGGCCTTTTTATAAAAATGAGATAAATAAGAAGAGACGCGCTAGAGTTTGTTGTTTAGCAAGAGACGCGTATACTTATGTTTTGTAACATTACAGGTATTATGCACAGCGCCTTCGGCCAAATTGGCATATTGCTATTTAGCATTTCGTTACTCAGGAGCTAATCTAGAATAGGCAGATCACAATATTTTAGCCCATTCCACATAAAACCTGCAGGTGGTACATGCATTGGCCAATATATTATTTTATTAAGATATTATTCGGGATCTGGGTCAAGGACTGATCTGGAAAATTCGGCAGGTGATATGTAGCGCCTTTAGCCAATTTTATTAGGCAATCATATATGCAGATTGTATATAGCTATTCATTTTACAAAAAAAAAATAAAGTATAAGTTATATTTGGCTAAATATAGTTAAGATACATAATGCTAATATTCAGTTGAAAGATATTAAGTCTATTTCCCGTACAGAATCGAAATATGCTTCAGCAAGATTGTGCAAACTAGTCCTACTAGAAATATTAGGCATATTTGATCGATCGTTCCAAAGATTTCTAATCTCAGGTGCACTTGCACTACGTTGCATGGGATATCTCTCGAGACCACCCATTAATTCAACAGGCTTTCGTGGCAATGGAGGAGGAATTGGCCCATTTAATGTTTCAGATTTTTGATCGTTACTATTGGTAACGGAAATTGATGAAACCATTTTTTGCCAGGCATTAGTAATACAAGCTGGCTCGAAATTTGGAGCACTTGGCATAGTATTTTCTGGCATAGTATTTTCTGCCATAGTTGCTTTGGCCGAAAGGTAAGCTTCATAGCTGACTGAACGAGCATCATAATCATATGATATCGATGCCAATTTATCCTTTTCTGAGTGTGAGGTAGATGGGGAGAAAAGCTCTAGACGGAGACGATTAAGTTTAGCCTCTTCTTGTAATATATATTGTTTGTATACCCAAATAGTAGATTCTCTTTCATCAATAGATTGGAGAATTTCTTTTCTTCTTGCATGTTCGTTTGAAATAATATCTCCATTAATACATCTCTTAAGATGGTTATCTCGATAGCAAGTTTCTAAATAAGGAGTTTTAGATATAAAAACTAAGGAGTCACATACACTGCAATATATATAATTGGATTCAAGACCATGAACTCTATCACTTCTTTCAATTAATTTTCCACACATTGTAATGTATCCATTTCCAGAAAGAATTCTTGGGTTCTCTTTAAGTATTTTTCTAAATGGATCACAGATACGGGAGCACCACATTTCTGGTGTTTCATGATCATATCGATCACCTAAAGGACATAATGCTTCTAATATTCTTCGATACTCTTCAAAGTTTGGATTACCAAAACTAACTGATCTAAGCTTATAATAGGTGCTACTATCTAAATACATAATAGTAGATTATAACAGATTATAACGATTTTATTGATATGTATTTTTTATCGATTTTAGCTGATTTAGCAATAATATACTATAATAAAACCATATTCATTTTTATAAGTAACTTTATCGATTTGTAGCCGATTTAATGAGACTGCTGTTACGGCCCGGAATTATCCTTAATTCCTTAATTTCTTAATTCTGATCATGTGACTCAACATAGATTGTAGAGATA